TACTTGGTTGGAGTTGCAGGGTTTTAAAAATGGCACCCAAGATAGCAGCTGTCTTAAAGGGACAGCCTCCTTTTTAAAAAAAAAAAAAAATTTTTCCTTGACAGTTCTGTTCTGGGTTCGTTGGGATTTTTTTTTGCTTGCTTGACAATTCTGGTGCAGCTCTTTGCATTTTTTCCATCGCTGTTTTGGTTCTCTTTGTTAAATGGGTTGGCCACCCCTGCTTTATACAAATGTTACTGTTTTTGTTGTAATTGAATGGCAGTGTAGGATCAATTAATAGAATGCATGATTGATACAGGTTGGACCTCTTTGGTCTGGCATCATCAGGTCTTGACTGGTCGCAAAAGAGGGATTTTATCGAACCAGGGGAGAAGCCCTGCTACTGGCCCCTCAGCCCACTGCTCCTCCCTTGCTGACTGCCCCAGCCACCTGCTGCTAGGCTACCATGACCAAGCTCTCCTGTCGGGCTCTTATGTCCCCAGTGCCCCCCCCTGCCACTGGCTGGGAGCCCAGGACTCCCTGGTCCAGGAATATGGGAGAGCCAACCTGTAGCAGTATGGCCATGTGAATTCAGTGAAAACACAGGTTATTGTTCTGGATACAGAGATCCTCTATGCATTGCTTACAACTTTACTGCAGGGCTCAGGTGGTCCAAGAAACTTTTGACTAGAACGATCCCCTTTGTAGACAAAAGCAAATAGCTTTAATTATGCGAACTAAATCTTTAAAGGCAAATAAATGTTATGTGCTTACGTAAATATTTAACCCTACACTTTATAAATTCAGTCTGGTCAGAAGATTAATTTAGTTGAGTGTCTTTTAATAGCTGTGCTTAAAATTTGACCCCTTTTTCCATGTTCCAGGATGATTTACTGACTAGTCTCTCCTTTGGACAGGAAGCATCCTTTCTGTTACCACTGCAGATCCATATGCAAGTGACAAAACCAGCCGTTTTGTAGGAATTTGCATTCAAAGGGGAGGAAAGGGACTTGGTGCCACCTTTGTGCTTCGGAATGTTATAGAAGGACAGGGTACGTCTTCATACAGCTTTCATTCTTCCATTGATTATTGAATGGAGGAGCTATATATAGTATTTAAGCTATATATGAAATATGGTGTAGTATTGAAATCTAGTTTGCGGTTGGGATGGTATTAGAGTATTAAAGGAAAATCATTCTCTTGCATTCTGCTGTTAGGTTTAAAACAAGATGCAGTGAGACCCTGGTATACAGCATATCTCAGCTGCTTTAAAATCTGGCCCAACTGGACTAATCTCATGTTTCAATTCCGGTCAAAAGTAATACCACTACTAACTTCATTTGTGAACTGACTTGTAGTAGATGGATTTTTAATATTATCCTTACAAAAAACACTTTGTTTTGTAGCATCAGCCAGGGCCCAGCTGAGAGTGAGTGCCATTGTACTAAGCACCATGCAGAGTAATGCAATCTAGGCGCCATAGAGTTTAATCTTGATTCTCTCTTGTCTCGTATTCGCCCTACATCACCTCATTTGTAATCTAAGATACATTTGACCCTGCGTTTCCATAACAGAAGATCAGTGTAGCAGCTCACTGCATCATCCCTCTCTGTTCTGGTGCACTTTTAATACTGCAGGGCAATTCAGGCATTTCTTTGTCTGCATTACTATAAGTATAAGCAGGAATTAGACTTTCCTTATTTTACCCAAAATACAGGAACTGCAAATCCATGTTTGTGGCTCCCTCTTAAATTCCATACTTTAATTGCCTCAGCCTCTTAGGCGAGTCTAGACCACAGACTTTAATTTTTGTGAACAAGAAATGTATAAATACTGTACCTAAAAATGGACCCAATATATAACAAATCACTGTCCTTGAGTAATAAAAGGATCTGAAACACTGAACAGCAATATGTCAAACCCAGATTAATTTTTAGTGCCTCCTGCTTCTCACCTACAAGTTAAGTTATTGTTTTCCTAAGGTGTTGAGTTTTGCTATGAAATATACAATCCTCGAATCCAGGAGATCAAGGTCCTGAAGCTGGAGAAGAGACTGGATGACAATTTGATGTATTTACGGGACGCTCTTACTGAATATAGTACGTTTGATGTTAACATGAAACCTGTGCCCTATTCACCTAATGATGAAATTCCTGTAAACCAGGTACGAGTCAGGGATTATAGACGTTTGGTGGAAAAATGAGCAGGTGATTCAAGTGGTTGTAATAAAATATAAACACTTCATGTCTGATATGTTAGCGTGAATCCAGCCCTTTAAAGCCATTGGACAGTTACCAGTATCACATATGAAACAATTTTGGTTTTACTGTTTTTATAATGAATTAACGACAATGCAGTTGAACTATCTGGCATCTTTTATTTTAACAAAGAACATGGACTGATGGGCATGGAAAATACACAAAACTTCTACAGATAGTGTCTCTAGGCATATGCAGGGTGTTATGTGCAGAAGTTTTCTCCCTGTTGTATGTGTTCTGTAGATGCATCTTAGATGTGTGCCTGACATCCATGGGATTACTTGAATATTCAGGTTCCCCCCCACCCCCATAAAATAACATGATGGAGAAATGCTGACAATGTTTGTCATGCTGAGGGTAGAAACTTAGTGGATGTAAAGTAGATTGTCTCTTTCCAAGAGACTTAAAGAAAACGGATACATCTGCTATCCTCTTCACTAGCTTAGGAATACTAGAAGAAGGCAGAGGATACATAACCACATGCCAGATCAAGTATGCAATGTCCATCATGACACCATCTATTGGAGGATTCACCATCTTCTGAGTTTAATACTTATCTACTTTAAGTTCTTGTATAAGCTTTATCTCTGTGCTAAAAGCAGCATGACCTGTATTTGTCTGTGTAGTGGATTGTGCAGTGATAAGGACTACTCAGTACAAAAAGGCATTGACAGACTACACAGGGAAGCCAAACTAGAGCGTATCAGGCAAAAAAAAAAAAGGTTTGACTTTAAGCATGAACATGGGCATCTTGAGGATGATGAAGTATGGATGATTTAACTGTCCAGTAACAATAGTTCCAAGTGGGAGGAAATATTTTAAGTGATTATGATAATAAAGTAAGGAATAACAGTCCTTCTGAAAAGGCAAAATAAGTCACCTTTGGTCAGAAATAGTATTCAAAACTAGATTGAAGATAGATGAGCCTTGTTTATAGAACAGTTGTGTACATAGGCATGAAATGACTAAGTTTTGGCAGGAATACATTTCAGTTATCAAAACTGAACTGATTATTAGCTCTTCAGAGCTGATCTTACAATCAGACTTGGCCTCACTTTTTCAGAGCAAAAACACTCGTGCCAAGTTGAAAATGCATCCTAATGCAAAAAAGTCAAACTTCAATGAAGATTGTATCATATATATTCTTTACTTTGTTTCCAATCCTAGCTCAAGGTCAAAATGAAACCTAAACCCTGGTCAAAACGTTGGGAACGACCCTACTTCAATATTCAAGGAATCCACTTTGAACTCCCTGAAGAAATTATGGAAGAAGCACAAAAGTTGAGCCAGCCATGGATAAAGTTTGATATGCTGCGAGAATACAATACTTCAGAATTAGAGAAGAAAATATGGAACGAAGTGAATGAAAAGCTAAAAAAGTGACGCTGCTTTTATACAATAGACTACTGAGGGAGGCTACTTCTGAATTTAATATATATTTCCTCAGTTGTTTAAGACTTACGTATATATCATCAGAATGTACAATAAAGTTAATCTTTTTAAAAAAGCTATCTTTGTGTAGACTGTATATAATATACTTTCCCACTTTGGAGTGGGGGGCAGTGAGTCCCATTGTGTTCAGTAAAATCTTCAGAAAATAGCTTACCAGAGTACTATGTTTCTCCCCTTTTTCCAGCATGCTCAATTTTCACAATAACAAAACAGGCCTTCACTATTAGTTTTCATATAGCAGCAGCCCATAAACACCTTCAGGTGGGTATTGGTGTGGTTGCCCTACTGGGGGTCAGGGAGCAGTTGAAACCAGGTCTGAGGATGTCTTCACAAACTCCTTCCAATCAGAGAATTTTATAGGTAGCCAGTCAAAGGATGGCTTGCTGAGGCAGCCCTGTTGTAAGGAGCAGAGGACAGTTCATCCTGTCTAGTTAAGGGGGAAGGACTGGTTCCCTCGGAGGAGCAGCAGCATGGATGAAGCAATGCTGGGCAGGCTCAGAAGAACTGGAGAAAAGTTCCTGCCTAATACCTCCCGGGTTGTAGGCCTTGACAGGTGTGCCAAGAAGGTGCAAGGGTCACAGGAAAGTGGTCCAGGGAACAGGAACAGACAAGGGGACAAAGGCAGATGGCTGCTGCCAGAATCCCTGGGTTGGAACTCAAAGTAGCAGGGAAGCCTGAATCTCCCCCTCACCATTCTTCCTTGTATTGCACCTAGCCACATTGGAGAATGACCTTTACAGACTAGCTTGCTGCTAGGCATGGGGCTACACTTTGGGATTGCAGTTGACCAGAGTGGCATTTGTACTGAGAGGATGCTGCCAGAGGGCAGTGTCCTGAAGAAGGTGACATGACTATTGGGGAATAGAACAGATAATGAGCAAGAAACCCACTCTGGTCAATTGACCCAAACCACTAAGGTGATATATGTTCTTTCAACTAACCTCCCTCCATCATGAAATTGTTTTAAATCTATTTGGCTGCCTAAACTAACTTTCCAACAATTGCTGCTTTAGTAAACTGTCTTGACTTTTTCAAAATTCTCTCAAAAGATATATTCCTGTCCTTTGATAGCCAACTGCCTGTGTGATGGTGTTGCTGTGTTGTCTTCAATCCTAAAACACATGCACACTTTCATTTCTAAGTACAGTAGGAGGTATGTCTGACAAGTTGATGTACATAAACACTAGAAAAGGAAAAGACCTTGAGAGGTGATAGTCCAGTCCCCTGCCCTCACAGCAGCACTGAGTACCATCTAGACCATCCCTGATAGATGTCTATCCAACCTGCTCTTAAATATCTCCAGATTTGGAGATTCCACAACCTCCCTAGGCAACTTATTCTAGTCTTTAGCCACCGTGACAGGAAGTTTTTTCTAATGTCAAACCTAAACCTCCCTTGCTGCAGCTTAAGCCCCTTGCTTCTTGTCTTATCCTCAGAGGCTAAGGAGAATAATTTCTCTTTCCTCCTTATGACCCCCTTTGAGAGAGTGGTTTTCAGGTATCATATCCCCTCTGTCTTCTTTCCAAACTAAACAAGACCAATTATTTCAGTCTTTACTGTAGACCTTTAATCATTCTTGTTGCTCTTTTTTGGACCTTTTCCAGTTTCTCCACATCTTCCTTTAAATGTGGTGCCCAGAATTGGACACAATACTCCAATGGAGGCCTAATCAGTGCAGAGTAGAGCAGAAGAACCGAAATTTTTTTTTTTTTTTTTTTTTTTGCAACAGTGTCACACTGTTGGCTCATATTTAGATTGTGGTTCACTATAACCCTTAGGTCCCTTTCTGCAGTACTCCTTCCTAGCCAGTCCCTTCCCATTCTGTATGTGTGAAAGTGATTTTCTTCTCCTACGTGGAGTACTTTGTATTTGTCCTTATTGAACTTCATCAGATTTACCTCAGACTATTTCTCCAGATCGTTTTGAATTGACCCTATCCTCCAAAGCAATTGCAACCCCTCCCAGCTTTGTATCATCTGCAAACTTAAGTGTACTCTATGCCAATATCTAAATCATTGAAGATATTGAACAGAACCAGTCCCAAAGCAGACCCCTGTAGAACCCCACTTGTTATGCCCTTCCAGCAGGATTGTGAACTGTTAACCACTCTGAGACCAGTGATCCTGCCCGTTATGCACCCACCTTACCGTAGCCCCATCCAAGTTGTATATACCTTGTTTATTGATATCCTATGAGACCATATCAACTGCTTTACTAAAATCTAGGTAAATCCTGTTCACCGCTTCTCACTTATCCACAAGACTCATCCTATCAAAGAAAGCTATCAAATTGGTTTGACATGATTTATTCTTTACAAATCCATGCTGGCTGTTACCTATCACCTTATCTTCCAGATGTTTGCAGATGAATTCCTTAATTACTTGCTCCATTATCTTTCCTGGCACAAAAGGTAAACTGACTGGTTTATAGTTTCCAGGGTTGGTCTTAATTCCCTTTTTATAGATGGGCATTAGATTTGCCCCTTTCCAGTCTTTTGGAATCTCTCATCCAAGTAATGTCTTATCCTTCCTCGAAAGGTGAACCTCATCCCTGCTTAGCAGTCTTTGGAATAGCATCCCGTAGTAGAGTAAACCAACCCCCTACCAACACCATCTTCGCAGCCAAGCATTCACCTCCAGTATGCACTTCTCTTGCCTGGGCCCCTACCTCTTCAGTCTTTCCTGTCAAAGAATACTACCTGCACTCCAAACCCCCTCATCCATACTCTGAGCAGATCAAGAGTGATTACAGGGCTCGATGTCACACCTTGCAGTATCATTAGTGCCCACGTGGATGAGTAGCATGGGGGAGTAGTCAGAGGGCTAAATAATCCTGGACAATGCCTCTGTAACATCTCAGATACAGGCCCTTGGCAGGCAGCATACCTGCCCCTCAGAGAGCCCCTCAGAAGAGAGTCTGTGACCACTGTTACCCTGCATTTCCTTGCAGTGGTGGCAGCAGACCTCCCAATCTTGCGGGTACAAGGCTTCTCTTCTACTGTAGAAGGTGATTCCTTATCTCCCATAACCAGAAGAGTGAAAAGGTTCTTCAGTACCATGGTGGGAGGGCTGGGAGCAAGGGTGGAGCACTGCCTGCTACCAGAAGTGACCAATTGCCAGCTGTCCCCTGATCCATCTCTTCTCCCAGCAGTGGTATACCAGCAGTCTTTTGTAGTGGGACAGCTATCTCCACATGAATACTCTCCAGGAATTGCTTGTGAATTCGGATACACCTCAGCCTAGCTATCTCCTCTTGTAGCTCTCCTACCTGCTTCCTGAGAGATTCCACCAGGAGGCATCTTTCACATTGGATGGTTCCTCCAGCCTGGATTTCAGTAAGGGAATTGCAATCTACAGTCCCTGCAAAACCACACCAGGATCTGGGTAGAGACATCTATGGTCAGGTCATCTATCTAGCTACAGGCATAGCAGACAGGAGCAGTGCTGGTACAGGTGTCGCAAGTCTTCCTAACCATAGTAGGCCTCCTTCTTAAGCTTTCCGGTTGCTCTGCCTCTGACTTTTAAAGACTGCTCACCTAGGTCAGGCCTAGCCACACGGGAAGGCTGATCAAAGGCAATCAAGGGAAGGATCAAATACTGCCAGACACACAATCCCAACTGCCATAGTAACTAAAATCACCTGAATCAGAATCAAAATTCAGTCAAGCAAACTCACTCACACCAAATTCTATTACCCTCACCTGGCAGCCTGTTCAGTGGCAGGATCTCTTGCTCTCCCTCTTAAACTCCCCCGTCTGCTTGCTGAACAGGAAGGCAGGATTACATCTCAAAGCTAAAAGTTCAAGTAAGCCTTGAGTGAAAACATTAGGTATTTGCAATGAGTCCAGCTGTGGTAAATGCATCATCAGTAAACCTGGTAGGAGCATTCCAAACCAGGGCAGTCCCTGCCTCAGGAGCATATGGACCAAGATACAAGGACAGAACACTTCACAAAATCAGAGTTGGCTGCTCCAACTTTCTAGTTGTTTAAACACTCAAAAGCCAGGTTCAGGCCCTCATGCTTGGATTCTAAAACATGCACATGACCTGGTAAGCCCTACTTACTTCTGCTTTAACACTGCTTCACAAACTGTAAGATGATTTGATTCTCCTCTTCTCCCACTGAAAGAGATAGGCCTGTGCTCTCAACAAAGCTGATACATAAAATACTAATTGGTATTAGGCATGGGTTGAAAGCACATTCTAGAGAAATGGGAACACCCCCATGTTAAGCACATTGGTGTCCCCATGCTCCTCACTTGATAAGGATATTCTGACCCAGGTTTAGGCCGGAGTCTAAAATGCCAGCATTGATGCATAGCAATGTTTGATTGAACCACCAGATGCAAGGTGATGGCTGGTATCTAAGTAACATCAGTGGGTAGCAACCCAACACATCGGAGTGATGTGTAGTTTGTGTCTGAACGTGTACAAAGTTGTGCCTTAGAGGGGCTGGGTTTGTCCAACCAAGAGGGCAGCGAACCCTGCCACTGACTGAGGTGGTCCATTGTCAGGGGGTACATATGCAGAGTGGTTCATCCGAGTTTGATAACACTTACTGTACTTCGTTTGACAATAAAGCCTGGCACCTTTGATTCTTATCTGATTGTGTGGTCTTTGGGGGCTTTCTTGGAGTCCGATTACACACAATACACAGGAAAAGCTCTCATGAGCAGCCAAACTTATCACTGGAGAGAGCAAGACCTCTTGGGATACCACACTGGTTACTTCTGACACCCACAAAAACAAGGAGCTGTTACAAACTGTTTGGGTGAAGGAGGCAGTTGTGACTTGGGGCAGGAGACTGGGGTGGAGAGTTTTGGAATGTGACCTAGGGCAGGAGGAGGTTGTGATCTACAGCAGGGTACTATGGTGAAGGAGTTTGGTTTGTAACCTAGGGCAAAAGGGGATTGTGATCTGGGCAGGGGATTTGGATGCAGGAGGGGGGTAGAGGGTTTTTGTGTATGTGGAGTGGGGTGGGGGAAGAGCAGAAGGCTGGGGAAGAGGGGCTTGGCTGCCAGAGGCAGGCTCTGGCCACTTACCAACCAGCACCCCAAGCTGCCTGCCTGCAAAGCTAAATTCTTGAAGAGCTTGAAAAGTTTCTCAGCCAACCTGCCTGCCCCACACCTCCACAGCCACGTACTTGTGTGAAAAACTGAGTCAGAACAGAGGGAGCTAGTGCTTCGTGGCTGCCAGAAACCGGCCAATGGCATTGTGCTGGGGGCAGGAGTCACGCCTGAAGCCTTCTCCCCCCTCACAGTTTTTAAAGAGAAATGGCTCCCCATAGCATCCGTGGGCTGGATCCAGTGGTTTGGCGGGCCGGATGCCGCCCGTGGGCCGTCTTTTGCCCAACTTGGAAAACAGAAAGCACATTACATAGACCACTTGAAACTTCAGAACAAAGTGAAACATGCAGCTATCAGTTACACAAATTGGAATTTATCCTGGCTACCACCATGAGCAAGTACCCCTTACTCATATACATGTGATGAACTCTTTCTTGATCCCCAAAGACCATCTTTTATATCATCCAAAATAGCATGTCGAACACAATCCAGGATCCTAAAGTCAATGACAACTTAGAAGGAATGTTACATCTAGAGCAACAGCATCGACATTATCAAGTGTCTGTTGTGTTGGATGCTGTAGAAATACACAGGTGGATACTGCTCATTCCCTGAAGAACTCAATCTAATTTGAGACAATACACCAACAAATATGGAGGGAAGGCAGGGAGGACAAAGACAGTGAAAGCACATTTATATGGTTTAGTTACTGCCTAATGTCATAGTTCCTGCTGGTAAAAATAAGGGCTGCCAAGCAATTTAAAAATGAATTGATTTAAATATTTTTGAATGTTTTCTACATTTTCTAGCCCTCTGGGGGGTAACGAGCCAGTCTGGCAGACACTGGGTCCGGTA